GACCAGAACCCTTCCTGGAGCTGGCCGTCCGGCCAAACTGAGCTATCGGGGGGGAAGAGCCTTGGTGAGAGAGGTAAAGAAGACCCAAAGATCACTGTGGCTGAGCTCCAGAGATGCAGTCGGGAGATGGGAGGAAGTTGTAGAAAGTCAACCATCACTGCAGCCCTCCACCAGTCGGGGCTTTATGGCAGAGTGGCCCGACGGAAGCCTCTCCTCAGTGCAAGACACATGAAAGCCCGCATGGAGTTTGCTAAAAAACACCTGAAGGACTCCAAGATGGTGAGAAATAAGATTCTCTGGTCTGATGAGACCAAGATAGAACTTTTTGGCCTTAATTCTAAGCGGCATGTGTGGAGAAAACCAGGCACTGCTCATCACCTGTCCAATACAGTCCCAACAGTGAAGCATGGTGGTGGCAGCATCATGCTGTGGGGGTGTTTTTCAGCTGCAGATAAATGCGGCCAAGTACAGGGATATCCTGGACGAAAACCTTCTCCAGAGTGCTCAGGACATCAGACTGGGCCGAAGGTTTACCTTCCAACAAGACAATGACCCTAAGCACACAGCTAAAATAACGAAGGAGTGGCTTCACAACAACTCTGTGACTAGTTGTTGTGAAAAATTAACTTAAATGATTTTAGCAAATGGCTGCAATATAACAAAGTGTGAAAAATGTAAGGGGGTCTGAATGCTTTCCGTACCCACTGTATATATATATATATATATATATATATACTTTTTTTTTTTAGATAGATTTATCCCCATAAAATTTCTAAGAATGTTTGACTATAGACCAAAATAATGTGCTTTTAAACTTTACAGGTGAACTTTCTGGTGTTTGTTAACATAAGCAGGATTATAGTTGTGAAGACAAAAACCCCAGAATTAAATGGAGGAGACAGGCAACTTTACAGGTGAGATCTATTAAATAATTGCAAATTGTAAAATCACACTACATGGCTATTTTTCTTTTCTTTTCTTTTCAATATTACAGACATGCTTTACATACAATACAATACATACATATATAAGGTGCCCTGATCTCTTTTATCTGCCATTCAGGCGACTGGCGAAGTCAACTCTTCTACTCATCCCTCTTTTTGGAGTACACTACATTGTATTTGCTCTGTTTCCTGAGCATGTGGGTCTAGAGGCGAGACTTTTCTTTGAACTTGTGCTAGGTTCCTTCCAGGTACTGTTCAGACACTTATAATACAATCTACAGTGCAGCCCAGGAAGGCCAACTACACACTCTATCAAATATGTTTTTTAATGAATAGCTGTATAATAAATGAGCTGTCTTTGTAGTTATTATCTCTCTCCTTTGAGAAGTGAGGAGCTTAAGAGACGCTTCTATGGAGCCTGTTGATAAGTGAAACTCTGCCCTCTACTGTAAATGAACTTGAAATACAAGCTTATCTTAACAGTGTCATTTTATATTAAAGGGGTCATATGATGTTGCTAAAAATAACATTATTTGGTGTATTTGGTGTAATGAAATGTGTTTATGCGGTTTAAGGTTAAAAAAACACAGTATTTTCCACATACTGTACATTATTGTTTCTCCTCTATGCCCCGCCTTTCTGAAACGTGTTGATTTTTACAAAGCTCATCGGTCTGAAAAAGTGAGGTGTGCTCTGATTGGCCAGCTATCCAGTGCGTTGTGATTGGCCGAATACCTCAAGCATGTGACGGAAATGTTACGCCCCTTACCATACTTTGATGCCCTGTCCGGCCGGAGCAACGAGACAAAAACATTAAAACCCATTATAAACGAGGCATTTGATGCATCCAGTGGGGACATAATTACGGATTATAATGACTTATACTGTGTTTTTACGCGTTGCATCGCGCCGCGTAAACATAAAACCATGTCTGCATTTGTGATCGGAGAAATGACCGGGCTACAGTGAGCAGCGGCCGGTGGGCTTGAGAACGCCGTGGCCGGAGAATTCGACGGAGCGTCCGGCGGGCTTGCGGCAACCACATGTGACGACCCCGGGCTTGACTCCGCTTCATCCATGGTGAAAGCCGATCTGGCGATCCACAGCGCGAAGTTGATGTATTTCCTCAGCGACCAGCAAGGATCAGCTCTAGGCATGACGAAGTGGATATCGTCCTCTTTTGGAAGACCAAACAAAGTAGTTTCGCTTTCACAATGAAACACACAGCGCCTTCACGAAATGGCGGCGGCGGTGGCAACAACAATAGTACAGCGAGAATAAAAGTTATGCCTTCTTTCTTTGCGTGAACATTTGGGCGGCGTTATGCAAATCTTCTCACATCATGACGTAGACATGTGGGGGCATGTTAGAACGAGCCGTTTAAGGTAGGCGTGGGTGACTATTAATTTTTATAAAGAATATCTCTTTGGATTTGAGACTTTAGTCTTTGCAACTTTACAGATCTTCTTTATGCACCAAGAGCTTGTAACACTCCAAAGAGAAAGAAAAAATGTAAATCGCATCATATGACCCCTTTAAATAATTTTCATTTTTCAGCAAAATGCTGAAATATACTAATCAAGTACTAAAACAGGGGTGGTCAACGTCGGCCCTGGAGAGCAACAGTCCTGCAGAGTTTTGCCACCCCTGTATTAAAACAAATCCATAAACTCTCAAAAACTTGACTTTATGCTACTGCAAATGTCAAAATATTAATTATGGCATTTCTTTGAAGGGTTTCATTGTGGCATTGTTATATTGCTTCTTGAACTGTGAGGTAAGATCTAATACATTTTAATAGCATATGAACATATAAAGAAGCATTGTATGACCTTATCAGTAATAAAAAAAATTTGTTTTGTTTTAGGTGCAGAATGAAATAAGAAAAGAGATTGGGAAGTATAAGTTCCGAACTGACAACAACACTTTCCAAATGACAACCCAGGACTTCACTGCATAAAACTTGTTTTAACACAACTGCACATTATCTAACACTGTGATGATAATTGTGTTAATATTCTCACACATCACCTTTTTTTTTTTTTACATGGCTGTAAGTTTTGTGTAAAAACAAAAGAAAGTTAATATAGGTGAAAGTTAGGTGTGAGAAATGGCACTTGGTTTATATTTGGCACTTAGTTTGATATTTTTTTCTGATGCAATGACGTGGGGGCGTGTTAGAACGAGCCGTTTTAGGTAAGACTCTTAACTTTTATAAAGAATATCTCTTTGGATTTGAGACTTTAGTCTTTGCAACTTTACAGATCTTCTTTATGCACCAAGAGCTTGTAACACTCCAAAGAGAAAAGAAAAATTGAAATCGCATCATATGACCCCTTTAAGTGTGATTTATGTGTCCAAAAACTTTTTGGGTACAACTGTATTTATTTTTTACCTGTGGCAAAGTATTTTGGCACGTTTAAAGATGTTAATATCTTATTTGGTTTGTACTTTACAACTGTTAATATTAAATGTTCTTTAATATGTCTTTAATACGTAATACAATAAGTATTATATAAGTATTGATACAATAATAAAAACGTTCTAAATATTTAAATAGAATTGAAAATAATGCTGAATTTTGCTTCCTTTTTTTGTGACACCAGAGGATGGCGCTACATGTTCAACATTCAATGTGATGCATTACATCATCAATATCAGTTTTCAAACATGAGCTCCTTTTCAGTCAGTATGTACAGTAACATGCTGGAAATATTAAACATTCAGTATTAAACAGTGTGCAAATCATGATGTGAATATTTCAGTAATTTCTTTTTTTGTTGTTATTGTTGCATGTGCAGTTCAGTGATAATTCTTCATCCCTTCCAAGAAGCAGTAATCAAGTATATTACATTTCTGTTCAGCTGCCTGATCTACTTTAAATGGTCGGTGTGTGTGTGTGTGTGTGTGTGTGTGTGTGTGTGAGAGAGAGACAGAGATTTATATATTTGTTTTATATAAAAATATGCTTTGTGTGTGAATATAAAATAGCCTATTAAAGGGCCTGAAGCTTAAAACACCCTATTTTAATATTTTATTCATGCCTTTTCAGTCAGTATGTACAGTAACATGCTGGAAATATTAAACATTCAGTATTAAACAGTGTGCAAATCATGATGTGAATATTTCAGTAATTTCTTTTTTTGTTGTTATTGTTGCATGTGCAGTTCAGTGATAATTCTTCATCCCTTCCAAGAAGCAGTAATCAAGTATATTACATTTCTGTTCAGCTGCCTGATCTACTTTAAATGGTCGGTGTGTGTGTGTGTGTGTGTGTGTGTGTGTGTGTGTGTGAGAGAGAGACAGAGATTTATATATTTGTTTTATATAAAAATATGCTTTGTGTGTGAATATAAAATAGCCTATTAAAGGGCCTGAAGCTTAAAACACCCTATTTTAATATTTTATTCATGACAAAATATTTAGCATGTCAAAAAATATATAATTACAAGGGGCTACTTATACACCCCTCCAATTATTAGTTCAATTTTAAATTCAGTAACGATTTTAATTAAACCTTAATCGCGTTAATCGATTATTTCTTTGAGAGGTTTTCGCGCCTTTTATCAAACTAACGGTCAAACTCGTTTGAACGAGTGAACTCTTTCCCCATACTGTCTGAATATTTGTGCGATATTCAACAATACGAGTTATTTTCGTTCAAATTTATTTTACAAATAAGGAAGACAAACTATTTATATAGCCTACTCATACACCAACTACAGAATAAAACCTTTAAATGCTCGTGTGTGTAAAATCCTTCTCCAAAGGCGATACAGACATTATTAAAGTTATACAGTAAAACAACGCATAAAAGCATCTGCCCAGGAAAGATAGAGTAGAAATAGAGTTTTAATGTTTCAGACCTCTTGTGATGATCCTCTATACCTGCGGCTCAATCTCAGGTTTCATTCAAGACGTTTATGCGTCAGCAACAGCTGTCCTGGAGCTCGCGCTGGCCCCGGGTAAGAGAGACAGACTTCAGCTGGAAGGTAGACCAAAGACTGAAGGTTTTGTGGAAATATTTACCTCACTGTGACAGGTATGTGGTCTAGAGCACTGCATGGTGTATAGGTCAGTCGGTTGAGGGCAATGCTGTGTGTGTATCTGGAAAGCTGCAGGATTCATTTTGGCCCCCAAAGCTTTTGATTTCACTGCTGATTTCATATTCTGTTAACCATGTCTTGACAGCTTGATTTGAACAGGATAGCATATACAATAGAATGTTGAGAATTTATGGTTCAAAATTGTGTTGAATATTACTTTGTCATAATTTAAGATTTGGGTAACACTGCATGTAAAAATGTCCAACAGTTTAGCAGAAAGTCAAATTAGTAGGATTCCCCAAAATCATTAGAGATGGGAAGTGAGAAAGGTTTGAAAGTATTTCTCTCTAAAATGCTTGATTCTGATTGGTCAGCCTTGGCATTCAATCGTTTTGTATAGTGACCACTAATAGTATAATTGACCAAAGTCTCAGGCAAACTGTTTCCTACAGCTGCGCTAGATTCATTTAAAACAATAAAATAATTCTAAAATGAACACTGAAACTCAGTTCAATGTTCATGCCTATTTCTTTATTTTTTTGTACGCATTTATGTAAAAGGTATAATGTATTTTATCCTTTAAATTGTATTTCTGAAAGAGATTGGCAGTTCCCAATCTTGCTCTTTATCACTCTCATGCTCATTTTCTCTCATTCACACTTCCATATATGTAAATGTGAACACACAACATTTTTCTTTATGTCTAATGTGTCAGGTCTATTGTTCTAGCAGATGCTGACTGTGTAGTCGTACTCTTTTTCCCATCCCAACAGCGTATGGAGTCAGAGTTAAATATAGCGCGTGTCTTCATTTCAGGGCTCGGCTGATGATGCTCGTAGTGCTCGGTTGTACCCCACCATTCCTCCTCTGTTAATCCATGTTGCCCGGATCAGAGGTGTAGGATGATGGAGACTCTTGGACTGTTGGTCCCGAGATTCTTGTCAAAAGCACTCCGATCGGATTTTGTTTAACCCCCTTTCAGTTTTATGCTCTTGCCTTTCACAGAGGTTCCTGCAGGAAGTCGACTTTGTCTCGTGTAGATAGCACTGTTTCAGTGTTTCACAATTTAAAGGCAAGATTGAGACATGAGGATGGACCTTGTGAGTTTCCCTGGTTAGTTTCATAACATTAGCTCAGACTAGATGGGATGTGGTTGCTTGGAGTTAAACGGTTACACCACCATGTATGTGATACCATCTTGGGTATATGGATGGGGCAACTATCCATGGTGTCTTTCAGTGACATGGACTACTAGGTATTTGGTGTGGATTTAGTTGAATTAGAAGATGTGTTGTCTAGAGTGTGTTTCGTCTCTATGAGCGAGTACTGACCCCCTTTCAGTTTTATGCTCTTGCCTTTCACAGAGGTTCCTGCAGGAAGTCGACTTTGTCTCGTGTAGATAGCACTGTTTCAATGTTTCACAATTTAAAGGCAAGATTGAGACATGAGGATGGACCTTGTGAGTTTCCCTGGTTAGTTTCATAACATTAGCTCAGACTAGATGGGATGTGGTTGCTTGGAGTTAAACGGTTACACCACCATGTATGTGATACCATCTTCGGTATATGGATGGGGCAACTATCCATGGTGTCTTTCAGTGACATGGACTACTAGGTATTTGGTGTGGATTTAGTTGAATTAGAAGATGTGTTGTCTAGAGTGTGTTTCGTCTCTATGAGCGAGTACTGGCATCACATGTTCTTGGACGCAGAAGGTGTTGGTTTTAGGTTTCTTTCACCGGTGGAACCATGTGATCTTTTGGTGATCCCCCTACCAGCACTCTCCTAATGTGTGCAAAAGGGGAATCAGTGTTGAAGGTGCAAACATACGTTTGACCCGTTTCATAGACACCACACACTTTTGTGTATCCAGAGTTGGTAGCGTTTTGATATCGTTTGCACAATAAGGGATGTTTGTAGCCTCCATCATAAAAGTGTCCCCATATATTTTATTTTCTCTTTGGATATTGTTCATATTTGGAATGAAATGATTTACCTTTTAGATGGTTTGCATTTCATATTTCAAAATGTTTATATAGTGATTTCCGTTGATACCATTGGATCTTTGCAAGTATAAGGTTCCAGCATACATTTGCACGAGGCCTTATAGAGACCTGAGAGAAAGGTTAAGTAGGCATGGCAGTGTTAAAGAGAGGCTTGGTTTATGACCCTTTAAGAAGACATAGGCCCAGAGTATGCCTCATGTCAACACACTATAGTAATAAAATCCCTTGTTTGTACTGCTGATCATTTGTTTACAACTTACCACATAGGCATAAGTATAGGGGTCAATAAGTCATGGATATAGTCAATCTACTCCTGATGATATTTAAGTGAAATGAAGAGGTGTTTTGCTCTTTTGAATGTCAGCAATGTCAGTTATGTCCGAATAGTTATATGGTTTTATAATCCATCTAAACCATTTAAAGAGTTAATAAAATGCACATCTTTTTCAATTCCCGGAATACTGTGTTTAGTTGAAGGTCAAGGCATGTTCTCTCCCACAAAGTAAAAATAGGCTTTTATTTTCCTTTTGGATGTCAGTCAGTGACACTTTGTTTCATGAGCCAACATTGATCATGTGTTGAAACCTCAAGCGGTTGCCCATGTACAGTTACCCCAAAAAGTATTTGGACACTTAAGCTGCTTTAAGTATATATAAATGTCATTGCATCAGATAACAAATTGTTAAACAAAGTGTCATTTTTGCAATTAAACAAAAATGTATGAAGTAAAGGTCTTCACGAGCCCACTTGGATCTGAACTTGAGGTTGAGGTTCAGATGAGTTCAGATGAGTTCAGAAAAAGTTGGTGTTGAGATGAATTCAGGTCCAATTTTAACTAGGGTTGGGTACTGAAACCAAATATGGCACTGGAAACCTATATGACGGGTAACAGACCGAATCAGAACGCAG